TGAACGTTGCAGCCCGGCCAACCCCACACCCATTTCAGGATGCACATTCGGGTACTGCTGCCTTGACCAGTCCAGACTGTTGTGGGTTCCTTTACCTGTGAGTGATGGCAGGCTCCTTGGTCACACATCCTTGGTCACACATCACCCCTTCAACTCTTGAGCTAACCAGTGGGGCTAGTATTTCCACGGGGTTTGACCCATACCCCGCCCCCCAAAGAATCTATCCCCGGAAATGGTTCTCTCATGTGGTAGTGACTGTTATGCCCTGCCTGATGTGACCTGTTTCCTGATCCATCATCGTGTCGGTAATAGGATATGATCCTGCTAGACAAGCCCTGAGCCTTAGCTTTTGCATGGACTGGTGTTCGGTGGTCAGCATTGTTCAGTGATTACAAGTTCTTTTTTTTTTAAAGATTTATTTTTATTTTTATTGGAAAGGCTGATATATAGAGAGGAGGAGAGACAGAGAGGAAGATCTCTGTCCAATGATTCACTCCCCAAGTGAGCGCAACGGCCAATGCTATGCCGCTCCAAAGCCAGGAGCCTCTTCCGGGTCTCCCACGCGGGTGCAGGTTCCCAAAGGTTTGGGCCGTCCTGGACTGCTTTCCCAGGCCACAAGCAGGGAGCTGGATGGGAAGAGGGGTCGCTGGGATTAGAACCGGCGCCCATATGGGATCCCGGGCGTGCAAGGCGAGGACCTTAACCACTGCGCCACCACGCCGGGACTCAGTGATTACAAGTTCTACACAGGATTAAAGGAGTTTAGTTTATCAGTCTTATCCATAAAGATCATCTGGTCCCTCTCCTCCAACCTACCAGGTCTCATTACCCTCACTAACCTTCAAAGGAAAAGTTACTCCATCGTTGGGATTCTTTAGGATTGACTGACATCCCAGAAGTACAGTGGGCTTGACATAGAGATACCTAAGCATCAATTCACAGCCCAAAACCCCAGAGCAGACCACCGGGCGGCCAGCAGGTGGAGCTTGGCGTCGAATGGTGCACTGGCCGCCCAGGGACAGGTCACCGCGTGGACGAGGTGGCTGGAATAGGGGCTCTGAGCATGGAGACGATCCTGGCCTGGCACCCACTAAATATTTCATTTAATAGGACAATTTTAATAATCTTCGAGACTTGGCATTTAAAATTAAAATATAGCAGATGCTGGCACACTGGCAAATGCCAGGAGACTGGATCTGGGGACTAGCACATGCATGCACATGTAGGCCCCAGGCTGTCACACCACCCTGCCATACAACTGGTCTCAGGCATCTGTGTGCTTGCATGCACGAAGGCTGTGACTTTCTCAGGGAAAGGGGCATAAAGATGTGTGGGAGAGGACTGCTGAGGGACTTCCACTGACCAGGCCACTGTACCTGCTGATACTGGGAGGGAAACTGGAGGACCTTATAGGGTCAGACCAATGCACCCAACCACGTGGGAGACCTGAGCTGGGATAGTTGGCATCAACCACCACCCACCAGTTCATATAAGAGTAAAGGCTGGGGCTCTACCTGGTAGGGCTAGACCACAGTACCCACCAATGAGTGTAGGAACAGGGGTGGACTGCATTAGGCTGGGCCATGGTACTAACTGCTACACGAGAGAACTGGGTCTGGGGGCAGATTATGGGGGGGGAAATCTGTGGATTCACCCATTGGACTGCAATACCTGCTGGTTTGCTTGAGGCCTGGTGGTGGTGATGGGCCAAGACGGGTATGACTACAGAACTCACTGACACTTATGGAACAGGCCAAGCTGGTCCAGGCTGCAGCACCTGTAGGTGCATGCAAAAATTAGGTATGAGGTGAGCTGGGCCACAACAAGGGATGAGACTGGGGAGCAGAATTATGCCAGATAGGGACCTAGCACCCACTGGCACATGTGAGATCTGGATCTGGGAGTGGGCCTGATGGGGGAACCTGGGCAACTTCCCTAGTGGGCTATAACTCCCACTGGTGGGCATGAGTCAGTGCTGGGTATGGGCCAGGCTGCTCCACTTGTCAGCTGGCTTGGGGCAGGGGCTGTGGACTGGGAAGGGTGGGGATAAGCTGTAGCACACTGCCATGCAGAGAAGCCAAAAGGGTAAATGCCATGCTGGGCTAGGCTATTATACCTACCAGTTTGCATGAGAGCCAGGAATTGGGGACAGGGCAGGCTAGGCAGTATATAGAGGCAAGCTGGGGATGGGGGTGGACCATGCCAGGTCAGGCTGGACTGGAGCAACCACCGGCATGTCAAAGATCTGTGGCTGGGCGCAAGCCAGGCAGGGGGGCTAAGCTGACTCCCCTGCTAGGCTGTGGTTCCCACTGGTGAGTGCAAGAGCCAGGAATGGGGGTAGACCTGGCTGAATATGGCTGAAACATTCCTCAGCATGTCTGTGGGCTGGGTCAGTGCATGTGCCAGAATGAGCTAGGCTCTAGCATCCACTGGCACTTGCAAGAACCAGAGTGGGTGTGGGATGGGTTGGGCTAGGTTACAGTACTTGGTTTGGGGGTGGGCCAGGCAGGCTTGGCTGTAGCACCCACCAGTGAATTGGAATGGATATGGGCTGATCTAGTAAAATCGCAACACCCACCAGTGAATGTTGGGACCGGTGGTGAGACAAGTCTGGTTGAGCCAAACATCCACTGGTGTGTGTGAGGTTTGAGACTCAGAGCTGGTCTAACAGTGGAGCTTGGGAAACTTCCCTGTTAAGACACAACCCTTGCCAGTACCTGGCTGTACCTATCAGCATACATGAGGGTCAGGTCTGGGCCAGTGTGCAAAACCCATTGGCAGGTGTGTCAGGATAGGGTACTAGCCAGGCCAGGTTGGGTTACAACACCCACCAGGTTCATGTTAGGGCTGGAACTGGGCACAGGTTCCCACTGATGAATGCTGAGGTGAGATGGGTCATGTCAGACTGGACCACAACACCCACAAGTACACGCAGCACCCCAGGTAGGGAGTGAACCTGGTGAGGAGTCCTTGGGGGCTCCCTTGCTGGACCACTGCTCCCACTGCTGAGTGTGAGAGCTGGGACTGGAAGCAGACTGGCCTGGACAGGGCTGCAACCATTGATCTGTATGTGAACTGGGTTTGGGGGAAGGGCTGGGCTGGGCTAGGCCAGGGCACAGAGGCCACAGGCACATTCAAGTCAGGGCAAGTGCCAACTGGCTGGGTTTTGCTGGAGCATCCACTAACAAGTGTTGGGACAGGGTGAAAATTATGTCAGACTGGACAGCAGTACTCCTTGGAAAGTGCAAGACCTGGGACTGGGAGTTTGCCTAGTAGGAAAACGGTATTCTGCTGGTATGCATGAGAGCTAAAGCTGGAGCAGGCCAGGCTGCACAGGCAGCAACACCCACCAGCAAACGTGTGGACTGGGTCAAGTGTAGGTCAGACTGAGCTAAGTTACAGCATTCACAGGAGCATACAGGCACCTGATTGGGGTGTAGAATGGATTGAACAAGTCTGTTGCACATACTGACATAAGCAGAACATCAGGGTTGGGGGCAGGTCTGATGTGGGTTATTGGGGGTCACTCCAACTACGCTGCAGCTTCTGCTAGTTGTTTAAGGATCAGGTATGTGGCAGGCAGGGTTGGGTTGGAGTGGGCCACAGCACCTGTAGGTTTGCATAGGACGTGGGGCAAGGGATGGAACCGATTAGGTAACTAAATCAAAGTGTAGGATAATAGGGGCTACAGGTAACCAGACCCTGAACTTGCTGGCACATGCAAGATTCAGGACTGGGGCAACCCCAGGTGAGGATTCTCAGGGGGTTTCCCAACTGGACCATTGGACTCAACTCCGGCCACAGGGAAAATCACACAATTTATGGTTCAACCTTGGAATGCACGTATTGGGACTGGGCCTCCTTGATTGCTGATGCCTATGCAGTGGATGCTGAGTGCCATGTCAGAGAATGAAGAACAAAATATGTTGGACAACTCTCCTGGCTGAGCTTGGGCAGCAAGTGTCTGGGTGAGTGGGTGCACTGGGGTGGACTCCATCAGGCATCGGACCTTGGATTTTCTTAAAACTCTGAGCAATGAAACCAACAATGTCTAGAACAAAATCACTCACGCAATATCCTCAGAATGTTCTCCACGCTGCGATTCCTAAGACATCAATTGGCCATCCCCATCCCTGGGGACTGATGATGTTGAGCAGCGGTGAGCAATCCTCTTCCACCTCCCTCACTCCTGCCCCACACAGGAGAAAAGGGAATGGAGATTGGACGCATTAGCCCCATCCACTTTCCCCCACACTTTGACTCTCTCCATCCTAATCACTGGTCTTCATGCAGATGCATCCCTATTAACTATGTACACATCAAAAAAAACAACTAAATTTAAAAAAAGCCCCAAAACTAAAACACGAAGCCATCGGAATTCTCCTTTTGTCTGCCACTCACTGACCAACCCCTGGAAGAGCATTTTCATCGTGTGTGAAGCGTTACCTGTGGTTTTTATTGAGTCTGTCCTAATGAACAGCCTGGATGGATGCCTTCCCACGAATGTGCAAGTGCACGCCCACTGACAGCACCCGGAGAAATAGCACCCCGGAACTTAAGATGCAGCATTTCCTATGGGATTTGATTTCCAATGTTTAATATTTATTTTTATTGGAAATACAGATTTATTAAGATCTTCCATCTGCTGGTTCACTCTCCAAATGGTTGCAATGGTTGAGCTGATCTGAAGCCATGAGTCATGAGCCCTCTTGGGGTCTCCCATGCGGGTGCAGGGTCCCAAGGCTTCGGACCGTCCTTGACGGTTTTCCCAGGCCACAAGCAGGGAGCTGGATGGGAAGCGGAGGAGTTGGGCCACAAACCAGCACCTATATGGGATCCTAGCGTTTGTGAGGGCATGGGTAGCCAATTGAGCCATCGTGGCAGGCCCTGCCTGAGCTACTACGTTATGGTCCGTTCAGAATGCAAAAAAAGCAAAACTTTTGAGGCATATGAAGAACATTCATTTAAGAATGCAAAGCAGTCAACATTTCCTTTTACTCAAAAAAAAAATCCCTTCAGAGTTGAGGTCCGTTTACAAAAGACACAAGGACATTGATCACCAGACTCCAAGGTTTTACCAAAGGTCTCTAAAAATGGTAATGCATGTCAGAAAGGAAAATTAATTTTAACTTCCATATTTCATTATCAAGACCATACTTAGAAGATCATTGTTACTGATACAAAACATACATTATTTATATTTAACTGTACAAAATAATTTAATGTTTACAAAAATATCAGAATGTTGAGCTGACTGACACAGTCTTAAGGAATCTCTCCTAGAGAAGCACGGAGCAGGCCACTGATGCCCATTTCATTTCTTTTTTAATAAGTCAAAGAAAGGGTGCTGCAATGCTTCATCCAAGGTAATTCTTTTGGTTGGATCATACTCCAACATTCTTCGAACCAGGTCAAACAGTTTCTCATGTTCTTCATCATGGCAAAGCATAAACTCCTGGGGCGGGGGCAGGGGAGGGCGGAGAGAAATGTTTTTATTTAAAAACCATTAGTAATAGCAAAAATCTCTTTTCTTCCCCTCTTAACTTCAGACTTTTTTTTCCTTTTACCTTTAATGGTTTGCAGCGTCTCCTAACATATCTACCGGCAGAACTGTGTTCATCCCAATCTAGCTGGTTATGGTGGAAATACTTGCGTTTTCTGCAGGAAAAAGGAGTCCAGATTAAATAATAAAGACACACACCGTGCTCATGCATGCCGGCAACACAGCAGACATAAGTGCTGCTCTCCGGAAGAACAGACATCACATGCGTATGCAGTCTTGCAACACAAACATACCCCACATGTATCATCTTCCTCATTTTCCACCCTGTGAGGCTGAACATCCCAGCTGAGCTACTGCCAATACCATATACTGAAAATGCCAGCTTTAAAACTAAAGGCTCCTGGAGTCATTCTTGTACATTCTTAATTCACCAGATCTGAATTGGACTGGGAAACCTTTAACCTCTGGGTGACTTCTACGGAGGAACTGCCTGGGAACCACTGCAGGACCCTGACCAAGGGCTGTGCTGCCGGTTAGCAACAAACCCAGATTGACAGGACTCCAAAAACCAAGATATCTCATATTCCATGTATTATTTTCACCTCAACATAGCAAAACATTCATGCAAAGATTAACTGCACAGTTAAAACAACTTACCACTCTGTTTACTAAACTACAAAGTAAATGCTGGATTAGTTTTTTTAACACGATGCCTAGGAACTGGCATTGTGGTATGGTAGCTGAAGTTGTTGCCTGGAAAGCAGTGGAAGATGGGCTAAGTGCCTGGGCCCCTGCCACCCGTGTAGGAGACCAGGAAGAAGCTCCTAGCTTTAGCCCAGCCCATCCTTTGCAGCTGTGTGGAGAGGGAACAATCTGTAATTCTGCCTTCCAAATGAATATTTAAATGAGTATTAAAAAAAAAAAAGATACAGGTGAAGTTCTCATTAGTACAGGGAAAAAAAAATTTAAATCTGCAATTTGAATCTAAGCACTGTTTGTGCCCAATGAGGACTTTGACACGTACCTCGTTTTCTGAATCATGTGGGCTGGAATGGGTCCTAATATCCGCTCCATCATCGCCAAATGCTCTTTACTATCGTGAGTCTAAAAATCGTGGGAAAAAGAAGTTCAGCACATTCCACGTTCCAGACACAGGAACACAGTGCTAACCCGAAAGGATCAGACAGCTACCCAATCTATGCCAGGAAGTACTTGAGATGCAACGAGACCAAGTGAGCTGCACCACGTGTGCGGCCACAGTGAGCAGTGTCTCTGTGACGTGTTAGCAAGGCTCTGCACAGCGGTCAACACGCAACTTGTTCGGGGGGGAAAAGCTCGTTTCCTTCTTTATTTCTTGAACTGTTTAACTGTAGAATGACTGGGGAAGATGATCAGAAGAACAAAATTATCTAGAAATCAAACCGCACAATTCTTATCACTTGCCAATTCCAGGTTTTGTGTAGAAGCAGAGTCCCCGAAATCCTGCTAACCACTCTGAAGTTGGGAGGTAAGAACGTGAGTTTCAGAGAGATTCAGCTCCCAGGACTCACAGTCAACAGTCCATAAACACAGAAAGCCAAGCTATAAACTCAGGCCAATGCTCTTACTCTTAAACTACACACAATTACAAGTTTGGCTAAAGCAATAGAGAAGACTGTGAAATTTACAGCTGAGAGATACGCTTTCAAAGCCAGAGTAAACATTTTAGGCCTGCCTGGTCCCAAACGGTCTCCATCTTGTATTTTTTTTCTAAACAGTCATTAGGCCGACCGCACCAGGGGTCAGCCTGCCAAGCCTGGTTCTGGGGAGCAGAGGCTGTTTCCAAGGCGTGTTGAATCCATCACATACCGTCCAGAGCACAGCGGATTCAAAATGCTACTAATTCACGACAACAATAAATAAACATGAACCCCACATTCTAAAGAGTTCCTTCGTTTCAGATTTTTCAAGGCAGAATTAAAACAAACCACACCTCAACTAACGAATGTTAACAGCCTTAAGTGCTGTGTGATCACAGCCATTCACAGCCATATCCGCGCACAAGAGTAGGAGGCAGGAGGAACTTTTCCACGACCCTGCAGCTCGTTACTATAGAACCAGACGCCACCTCCCCAAACTGCGAACCAAGATTCTATAGACGTGAAAGCTGGAAGCAAGTCTGGTGAGGCTCCCCAGCACTCACACTGGACAGCTGTGGGTTAAGTGACCCACCATTGTTTCCTTTTGGCTTGCTCTGCCCCAAGTTCAAACCATCCTGAACAGCACTGAGTGGAATCTCCAAAATCGCTTGCCTTCAAACAGAGCCAAGCAGACCAGTCCAACACCTCACCCTGCCTGCATTCCGACCTGGCACTCTCCCACGGCCCCACCATCTACAGCTTCCAGATGGAAATAAAATTGGGAGGGAACCAGAAACCAAACTAGGATTTCCAAACTTTTTGTTTTGTCAAATGAGGAATTTTACTTAAGACGTACCTATTTTTTATTGGAAAGGAAGAGTTAAAGGTAGGCGAACAGAGATCCACACCGCCCCCCCGCCCCCCAGCCCTGGTTCATTCCCCAGACGGCCACGCTGAGCCGAGCCGCTGGGAGCTGGGAGGCACGGTGCCTTCCCACCGAGGAGGGCTCTGTTGTCCGAGGGCACCGAGGGCACCTGCTCCTTACATGCCCATCACACTGCAGCCTCTTGCACCAATCACTACTTCTACTTGCTTCCTACAACTCTTCATTGATTCTTTCGCCATGAGAACTTAACTATCAAGTATCCCTGGTTGCCCCTGCATTTTATATTTTGTTCCATGTAGTGAATACACACTATATTTAATCATTCCTCCATCACTTCTTTCACAGGAGATACCGTCTTGCCATCTTCGTGAATGTAGTAACCAGAAATGCCCAAGGCATCATAAATATTTAATATTTAAACTAAAACTTGCTCTTGTTCTTGTGACCTGTTCATGGTCAACTCTAACCTTCACTGAGTTATAAACAAAGATGTTGGGCCCAGCATGGTAGCCTAGCAGCTAAAGTCCTTGCCTTGCACGTGCCAGGATCCCAATGGTGTCAGTTCTAATCCTGGTGATCCAGCTTCCTATCCAGCTCCCTGCTTGTGGCCTGGGAGAGCAGTCGAGCACAGCCCAAAGCCTTGTGATCCTGCACCTGCGTGGGAGACCTGGAAGAAGCTCCTGGCTTCAGATCAGCTCAGCCCTGGCTGCTGCAGCCACTTGGGGAGTGAACCAGAGGCCAGAAGATCTTCTCTCTGTGAACCCGACTTTCCAATGAAAACCAAAAACAAAAGGCAGAGCTGTTTGGCCTGGCGGTCAGACACCCACGTCCTGGGTGCTTGGTGGGTTCCACCTCTGGCTCTGGTTCCCTCCAGAATGAGCTTTCCTGCAGAGTAGTGTTGGGGGCACTGACAATTTCCTGCCCTGTGATTGGCCCTTTTCCCTGATTGGTGTGCCTTGGTGATCTTTAAGCTGATAGGGCAGGTTTGATAGATAAGTGGGGGGCTTGGCGGGGGAGGGGCTTCAGCGTAACGGAATTAACGGACATAACAGTTTTAACGGAAGATCAGAATAAAGCCCTCTGAGACACTCTCCAGTGTCGGGTGATTTCTTCCGCGGGACGGGAGACCCCCATACAGTAGCAGTGACGTTTCAAGAAACCAAGTTCCTGCCACTCATGTGGAGTCCTGGATTACACTCTGAGCTCCTAGCTTTGGTCCCAGCTTTACCTCTCAGCTGCTGCACGCAGCTGGTTAGTGAACCAGTAAGTGAGAGCCATTTGCCCCTTAAGAAAACTTCACAGGCTCCACTGACACTGGTGAAGACTCACCACGGAGCTCAATGATGAAAACTATGGAAACAGGAAACGATACAAACCGGAAGTGAGGCAAGCATCAGCCCCAGGCAGACCTGACCTGTGACAGTTCACACTAGCCCGCCCCGCGGCTCGAGAAAAGCATGACCATTTTGCATATGCAAATTTTAACCTCAAGATGATAAGGCAACTTTCTAATACGGACGCATATTATACATAACATGTACTATTCATATTGAACATTTATTATGAATTACCGAATGAGATTAGATACGCACCTGAAAGACTGTGAATCCGAGGTAATATTCAATAAGAATGCACCCTATGCTCCAAACATCGCAAGGCTGAGACCATCCGAGAGCTGTGCAAAGACAACACAGGCATGTCAGCATGTCACTGGCAGACACATCCAGCATTCTCTGTGCAATGCTCCTGCACAGCCCGTCTGGGAGACAAAGACGGTCAACTCGGGATTGAACTTTTCGTTTATGAGTAAATGTCATTTAGTGTGTTCTCACAGTCCAGATGCTCCTATCAAAACTGTTGTTTTCACAGAGGGGCGGGGACACTTACGTAAGATGAGGGAGGGGCTAGCAAGCATTCTCCAAGCAGTTAACTGCCAACTGGTGTAAACATTTCAGTCTCTGAATGGCTGATCGACAGGGAACACAGCCACTGAAACTGTTCCTGGTCGGACCAGGAATTTTTACCTTCTGCAGGACAATTAGGGGCTTATAAATATTCCCAGGATGCAAATTATCTAGCCTTCAGCAATTCTCATAAGCTTGAAGAGTGAAGTTCCTTCTCCCATTAAAACACTATTTTATAGGGCCCGGCACGGTGGTGCAAGTGGTTAAAGGTCCTCCCCTTGCACGCCCAGGATCCCATATGGGCACCGGTTCTAATCCCGGCAGTCCCGCTTCCCTTCCAGCTCCCTGCCTGTGGCCCGGGAAAGCAGTCGAGGACGGCCCAAAGCTTTGGGACCCTGCACCCGCGTGGGAGACCCGGAAGAGGCTCCTAGCTTCGGATCAGCATAGTATCGGCCCGTTGCGCTCACTTGGGGAGTGAATCATCGGACGGAAGATTTTCCTCTCTGTCTCTCCTCTCTGTATATCCGCCTTTCCAATGAAAAAATAATAAAAATAAATCTTTAAAAAAAAAACACACTATTTTATATAATTAAGCACCTTCACCTACAAGCAGACATTGAGTTCAAATGGGGATTTGCATACGTAGTTCACGCTCCCTACATCATGACCATAATTCCTCCAGAATTTCCAACACTAACCATGAAAGAATAAAACACAAAATCTTTTAAAGCCCGTACTTAATTGGAAAGAAGGGACAAACCATAAAGACGTTTTGACCTCTTAAAGATTAGCTAGCCAACAAAACTCTAATACTCATACATAAATCAAATGTATTTCAGAAGACATGTAAATGGCTTTCCAGTAAGGAAGACAGGGCACCCCCAAAGGGCTTCACTACGATTCACTTAATTCTTACAGTGCTTATCATTTGAACAAACAAGCAATAATGGAGTAGGGTTTTTATCTGTAATAATATACAAAACCTATACACGCTATAGCTTGCACCTCATTCAAACCAACATTTCTTCATTCCTTATTTCCCAGTCTAGCGTTTCCTTCAACTGACTCTGCAGTGCACAATTCTAAATCACCCTGCTCTTGGAAAAGCCAGCCCTTAAAATCTTTGGAATTCTACATCATTCACTTTGACAATCCTTACCCAGTATTCCCTGTTTGGTTTAATACCTAAGACATCAAACAGAACCACTGTCCTCAACTGCGGCATCAGATGACAGCTTTCTTCCAAGCTCTCCAAGGACCCTTCTAATCTCCCAATCTCAACATTCTTTCAAATCAAGGTAACGTCTACAATTTCAGACTTCTATAAACTAGTCTTTGTCCAGCCACTTTTGGGACTCTCAATTAGCACCTGACTTGAACTTCCCTATTACCAGGCACCTAATCATATCTTTGAATTCTCTGCCCTATTAACATGACCCCGATTTATATTTTTTAAATTTTTGGTTGTGTTGGGCTGGCACATACAGAAACTGGGGCTAGGAGTTACTGGGCTCTGAATTGCCCTGAGTAGGCTGTGACACCTGCTTATGTCTGTGAGGACCAAGTGTGCGGTGGGTTGGCTTGGGTTAGGCCCTAGCACCTGTTGGTTCATGTGAGATGGGGCTTGGGGCAGCCACTTATCAGGCACCTGCACCCACTGCTACGTGTGTGCTGGTGCAGGTGATGGATCAAACCTGACCCTGCACTGGCTGGGGTCACTACACTAAAGTCTGAGGTTCCTCTAGGTGAGGCTTCTAAGGGGACTCCCTAAACCAGACCACTGGACTCAAACTGCCCACAGGGAAAATCAGAAGACACCTGTGGTCTGACTTCTGACACCAAGTTAGCAAGAATGGGCCTTCTCAGTTGCTGATGTCGCTGCCATGGACAGCATGCCGAGATGCAGATGGGGGACATGACGGCCAGACCATCCAGGCCAGCATGGTTTTCCACTGCCTCATCAGGATGGAAAGCAGAACAGGTTGGACAATTCTCCCGGCCAAGCTCTGCTGCACGTTCCTGGGTCTAAATGCACCAAGGTGAACTCCGTCAACCAACAGACCTTGGGAAGATTTTCTCAATGCTGGTGCAATAAAGCTGACCATGTGTCAGAACCATCCAAACACTGAAGTAACAGCGCTGGGACACTCTTCCCCACACGGGATTTCTACGGCGCTTGAAAGGTCCATCCCCTAGCCTCGGGTGCAAGAAGAGCCCCGTTCCCTTCCTCTGCTGGCGGACACAGGAGGGCAAAAACAAAGCAAAAACCATCACCCACCATCCTCCAGGCCTTGGCCCTCTCCTCCTAGGCAGAGGCCCACATGGGCATGCTCATCTCCTTCAACTATGTCAACAATATTAAAAATTAAAAAAATTCCAACTAAGACATATGCCCCGAGTTCCCACAGTCAACTTCTGCACAATTCCTTTCCTTTCCTACCATTTCTCACACTGAGTCTAAACCCTTTTTCTTAATCTCTATACACCACCTATAATCATTTAAGATAAGTTTGTTCAAAAATGACCATCTGGAAGATTGCTCACTAATGACATCACATTATCACTGAAGAAAAAGAATTCATAGCAGTGTTCAAATTTTCTTTTACGAATATAGAAAACATTTTATGTATACTGTTAAGACATTCTAGCCACGTCCCTTCCCACCTTCCCAGAACAGAAGCAGTAAAACAGAAATCTCTTCAGCTACAGTCTAAGAGATCTGGCATTTACTGACCCAAAATGACCTCTGGAGCTCTGTAATGCCGCGTGGACACCAGGGTGCTGTGGTGTTCATCATCGTACGTTGCACTTCCAAAGTCAACAACTTTGATATCTGTGTTTTTCAGTGTGCGTTCATCGCGTTTCTAGAGGTGTGCAGGGGAATATCATGAAACTGAATGATAGCATCACTACCCAAATGGCTTGCACTTAACTTGCTGGAAGCTAACACAGCCCATGAGGGAGGCAACAGAAGATTACTGTCGTGGTTTAACATGAGGATATAATCAATCTTCAAACAAAACAAGCAAAACGCATGGAGATCCACGCAGCTCAGAAATGAAACGCTTTACTGGAGGAGCACTAACCTTTTTCTTTCAAGCTGTATTTACTTGAAGGGCAAAGACGGACATCTCCCATCTGTGGGCACACTATACCCACACGCCACCAAGGTAGGAGCCAGCAGCCGAAGCAGAAACTCGCTAACCTCGGGCTGGAGTCTTGGTTCTGTCAGGGGCTGGCTGGGTATTTATAACATCATTTGAGGGCCATGCAAAGGTTGAGCCTGCTCAAGTCCTGTATGTGGCTGCCTCGGCAGAATCGGATCAAGTGACACCCCAGGCCTTATTCAGCCCCATGCCAGATGTCCTTCACCCTTGAACTGTAACAAATGCTTGTCCCCCCCCCCCCATTAACAAATTATTGATAGCCAAAACAAGTCTCCAGCTTACCATTTTAGAATTGTATTTGACTACATAATCAGACTTCACAAATAAAATATTTTCAGGCTTCAGATCTGTATGAGTCAATTTATTATGGTGCAAAACTGTAAGAGAAAAAAAAAAAAGACAGCAGCTTTACGTAACCCACTCCGTCCCGGGGAAGGGCTGGCGGTGAGCACAGGGAGAGCTAGTTCCAGTGTTACCTCCGACCGCTGCATGCTTAGCAATCGTGTTCTGACACACTGCTTGCACAACACGAACAAGTCGGATGCTTAGAGCCATCCGGTATACTTACAATTGATTGACTGGCAGATCTGATAGGCCATCTGCCTGATGTGGTCTATCTGAAATGGCAGAAAGCTGTTTTCTTTAATGAAATCGTAGGTACTGAGGCCCAGCAGTTCAAACACAATACACACATGGCCATGATGATCAAACCATTCTAGCATCTGGACACATCGGCTGAAACAGATCAAAATAATGCTTTAATGCACAGAATCCTGGTTATTTCGTCTAATGTGGCTCATAGTTCAAGTTTATACTTACAATACACTATTGGGATCAGTACTGTTTAAATGCTCCAATACTTGGATTTCCGACCGAGCAGCTTCACGGTAACGACCTACATTTTTTACAATTTTCACAGCTACGTGCATACCATCCCTTAAAAACAAAAAAAACAGATAAACACAGTGTATGGATAGGAACAGGCTCAAACCATGCATTCTCTGCATTATACTCAGTGATTAACTCCTCCAAGCTGTTTCTAAAACAATCTTTCAGGGCACAGTATACCTAATTTCACAGAACATCTTCTCAAAACATTTTGACAAGATACATTGTAAAAATTCCACATAGGAACATTAGCTTATTAAAATGCTATGACATGTAATGTTTGTCCCCAGATTTTGAAATCTGTTGCATTTTATGCAAAGGTTAAAAAAATACATGCACCGCTGAAAGCTTTCATTTATCCGAACTATACAGACGCAATCACTGCAGGCTAACTACAGTTTCAATCCATGGCTAACAGAACCATGAGGTAGAATTCAAGTATGAAAAAGACTGACTTCATTTTGTCTGACGCAGCAACCATACTAATACAAGATACATACAACCACACATGGAAGACTTTAAGATTTGTTTTTTACTGGAAAGTCAAATATACAGAGAGGAGGAGAGACAGAGAGGAACAGCTTTGTCCACTGATTCACTTCCCAAGTGAGCGCAACGGATGAAGCTGAGCCGATTTCAAAGCAGGGAGCCAGGAACATTCCAATTAATAGTATTCAATTCATCAAAGGATAGATATATTACAAACTTGTATTGTTAAACTTACACACTGTATTAGAATATATTTTTTAGGGTTGGGAGTTGTAGCCTAGTGGCTAAAGTTCACGCCTTGCATGCAATGGGATCCCATATGGGCGCCGGTTCGTGCCTAAGCAGCCCCACTTCCCATCCAGCTCCCTGCTTGTATCCTAAGAAAGCAACAGGGATGGCCCAAAGCCTTGGGATCCTGTACCTGCATGGGAGACCTGGAAAGAGCTCCTGGTCCCCAGCTTCAGACTGGCTCTGCTCAGTCTGGCCATTGTGGCCACTTGGGAGGTGAACCAATGGACGAAAGATCTTTGTCTCTCTCTGTAAATCTGCCTTTCCAATAAAAGTAAATAAATCTTTAAAAACACTAGAACTTCATGAGATTTTAAGAGCACATTAAGGAGACAAGTAGTAAAATCTGAATAGGGGTATAGATTAGCTAGTGAAATTGGAATCCATACCTTGCAAATATAGAAAATAACACAGATGATTGTAAAATGCAAATATATGGTGAAGCTGAGAAAGGACACAGGAGTACCTGGATTATCAGCAATATTTGGTAAGTCTAAAAATCTTAATTCAATTCATATTTTGTTGTAGAAATGCAAGAGTAAGATGGAGAATAATTTAGAATAGCTTTCCGATATGCAAAGTGGAAAGAATATAAAGCCACTACATATAAATGTTCAAAAAGAATGCATTCACGGGCCTGGCACGGTGGTCTAGTAGCTAAAGTCCTAGCCTTGAATGCACCAGGATCCCATATGGACGCCGGTTCTAATCCCGGCAGCTCTACTTCCCATCCAGCTCCCTGCTTGTGGCCTGGGAAAGCAGTCGCGGATGGCCCAAAGCCTTGGGACCCTGCACCCACATGGGAGACCTGGAGGAAGTTCCTGGCTCCTGGCTTCAGATCAGTTCAGCTCTGGCCACTGTGGCTGACTGGGGAGTGAATCATTGGACAGACGATCTTCCTATCCATCTCTCCTCCTCTCTGTATAGCTGACTTTGCAATAAAAATAAATCTTAAAAAAAATGTGCATTCACACATGATGACAGGTATCAAAATAAGGAGAAAAGCCTGTGTTTTTAAAGTGCAAATGTTTACAATAAGCTAGAAGCCGTACCTTTCCCAATTGATTATGTTGTCATTTATGATGCCGTTTTAGAAACAGCAGTTTCATTAACAAGTTCACTTACAAGAAAAGTTTGCAAACCACAGAACGGAAGTCCTAGAGCAAAGTGAAGGGAGTGGGCCAAATTACAAAAGAGCTGACCTTACTCAGCAGGTCGTAAGCAGTGCTTTCCTCATAACCTAGGGAGCTAAACTTGGATCTGCAAGACCAAATATGTGTTATTATCTCTGCGATCCAACAGTCATGGAAATCTCTCGTAGAGGCCTAGAGCCAAGTTCTGGGAAATTCCTTCACTTAACACTTATTTTTATTTCAATGAAATCCATCAGACAAAAAATTTTACAATACCCCTGATCACACAGAGTATTCTCACAGAAAATAAATCCTGCTATCTCCCAGGAGAAAACTTACACCAACCAATTGAAACGTTATCTCAGCTAAACGTTGGGACTCTCCCCACTAAAACTAACAAACTACAAAACTAAAACTAGAAACTTACATGCCATGATCAATGCACTCCACAACTTTGCCAAAGGCCCCTTCACCCAACGTGTCCACGATTTCATCTGAAGTGAGAGGGGAAAGAGGTGTGAGCACCCGAGGGTGAAGGATCTAGCCAGCCAAACAATGAATGCTTAAGTGTGGAATATTTTCAAATCATCTCTAGCAAAGCATAATTAAAGTTTCAGCACTCAAATTATCATATTTTCAGCTGCTATGAAAACAGTTAGATAGAGCTGTCTTTCTTGCTCTAATCTCAAATTCCATTGATTATTTTGGAACTTTAGAGTAGAAATAATTTAAATTCTACAGAAAAGAAGAAATACAAAACAAACAAACCAACCCACAAAAAAACAAAACAAAACAAAAAAAGCAATGAAGAGTTTTTTTAGCCCCCCGCTGACAAACTATTTTTTTTTTTTAAAAGATACTCTGTCTGCAAAGTTTAAAAAGTGTTGAAAGATATTCTATACATCTTGCTCTCAGAACGTCTCCACTTTGACAGACCAGGTGACCCTCCTCATCATCCTCTATACTCCTGGATCTTTTCCTTCGGTGGCTCTTCTGGAACGGCAAGTGGGCGGCACCAAGATCGTCCAGCCAATCAATATATCAGAGTGCATTCAGGGCAGAATACGCAATTCATTCAGCGGGGAGATATTCAGGCATTCAGATAAGCACCAGGCCACGAACAGTTGGCAGGAGCAATTTCAAATTCAGTCCCCAGAAATTCACAGGGCACAGTTTATGTTACAGAAGAAAAACATGGCAAGGAACAGATTTTCAGATAAGATACTTGAAGTGGCAATAGAAAAAAAAATAAAAAAAACAACACAATTGTCTCTTTAAAATACTGATTTAATTGAAGTCTGCAATTTAAAGAATGCATTGTCATGATTTACTAATCTCATTATAAATAGTATATGCTGTGAGTTGAGATGTTTGACAAAAATGTTTTTTTAAATTGTCAAAATTAGTTGACACTGTTCTTATTTAGCAATATTTTTAAATATACATGATTAAAACAGAAGGGAAAACAAAGTCCAGTTAATTTCAATGTTCAATTTAGGGAGTTTACAGCTCAAACTAGTAAAGCTATCTGTTTGTAAAAAGGGACAGTCATTTTAGATAATGCATCTTCTATCTAGCACCCATTTCAACAGACCAGGGCAACTCAGCACCAGTTAGCATCCAACAGTGCAACTTTCTGGATTTGCTCCAAGTATCAGCAAAGACTTTTTTATAAAGTTAAAAAAAGTTTAAGACCAAATAAAAGATGGGTGCTTCATGTTTTCATAATATACTGCAAACTTTAAAATACTTCACAGCTAACATCAACAAACTCTGACCTAATCTGCAGAGCAAACGGGGGCAATGAAAGCTAGCTAATAAATACATAGATCAGCTACCTGAATCTGAATGTTTCCTTTCAGGATTCAAACAATACGGATACAACTTTTCTCTATCCAAATAATATTACATAGCAGGAAATTCTACAAACTTCTTGCCTCCTTAGAAGCTTTTACATATAATTAAGAATCTACCCGAAATAAAACAAACGGAGTCATACCGAATGCGACTGCTGACTTGCACAGTGTCTATTATGCTTCCTTTTGAGACTGCTTCTCCTGCTTCGGACTGAGGATTTACTGCAGTGAATGCGGTAACTGCTTTCAGCATCTCTGTGATAATGCCTAGGAACATATCCTTCGCAGTACTCATGTCTGTACTCATCAATGTATCTCCGGTCCCGATAATCTCTCTCATTCAAGGACCTTGCTTCTAAATAATGACTGCAAACACATGAAAGGATATCCGGTTACTTTCTTCATTCTAAAAAATGTGGTAAAACATTCAGGAATTCTTGGTTTATACAGCTTAGTCAATTAAAAAACAAAACAAGGGGACGATCAGATTTAGCACTTATTTCAAAGCTTAAACAATACTATGCTTTAACCAATTAGAAATAAACCCCTATTTTCCCAATATATAGACTGTTGTCAAACACTTCACACCAAGGAACAAGATATAATCGAATCATTAATTTATTATGTACAGTAAGTCCTCCTATTTGCTCTGGAAAAAAGCCAAACCCAAAAATTGACAACTGCTCTTTTAGCATTGGTCAGTCTCACAATCCAGGTGTAACCAAGCTGGCTCTCCTGCACGCTCAGGCCGGAGACACAGGGCTCCTTTCTGTCAGTAAGGATGCTGCAGATCTCCCTGGCACAGAGAATTCTTTCATGTCAGTCCTAATTATACTCCAGCTCTTCCATTTCACCAGGAACAATCTTAAAATAACTAAATAATTTGACATGATTGCAGAGCAAATAAGCTACAAAAACAGGTATTTTCTTAATTTGACATGATTGCAGAGCAAATAAGCTACAAAAACAGGTATTTTCTAACTGCCACGACGCAGGTCAATTTTACTATACACAGCATCTGTGCTGTCTCGTCTCCTCTACACTTCCAGCCTTCTGTTACACCTGTTTGGAAACAGGCAAAGTAGCAGTTTTTCAGACTCTCACAGTAGATCTCTTTCCAATGAGAAAGGGATCCTGCAGGTGCCTACCTAAATCACAGAAGACCTACCGTCGTACTTCTCTACTAGGCTTGGCAACCTCTTGTCATTACTGCTTAGAGAATACACAGATCTAAGCATCTGATGAGAGCTACAGAAATAAAAACTGCAGAAACAGGATTTGGCAAGGAATTTCAGAGAACTTAGACCTTAGGAAGTCAACGGTCCCAGTTCAGCAGCCTTGATCTGATGGAAAGAAAAGGACACAGTTCATTTGGCCCAGCGTCCCGTCCCCCTCTCTACCTGGGATGAATGTCCTCTTCAACAGAGTGCGAAGCTTCAAGAGGGATGCACATGGAGCACTGAGGGAGAGAGGGGACACCTGCCCAGTCAGACAAATTGGCTACAAGAATCCTGACAAGCAACGGAGTGACAGATGTAGACTACATTGCCCTCTTATCAAACCCCTCTGCTTCCCCCAGAATGAGCTGTCATTCATTCTCCCCAGGGGATGATGGCTTAGTAGAAATAAAAAGAATCAGCTCTCCAACCGGCACCGTCCAGGCTGGGGACTTGCAGGAGGCCCCCCCTTCTGTCCTAGCAGCAGCCTGAAATTTTATCCCACGACACTGGCCCTGACCAGGCATCTCATCAGCTGGCCTGGGATAGTCAGAAAACGTCACCAGTTACATAACAGGCTAAAAATGGTGATATTTCTAATGGAATCCTGTTTGGTTTTGTAACAAAATTTTCCCATCAAAGTCCAAAATCTTTCTGTTGGAAAAAGCTAAGGCAATCATCTTTATCTAGAATAGTGCATGAAAGTAGAGCTGCTGATAATCCAAAAACAATCTAGGGAATAATGAAACATGCAGTGAGGTAATACAATGCAGATCAACTTAAAAGATGAGGGCTTCGTCAATCTGTAATAACCAGTGACCAAGCCTTAGCAACGGAAGTCTGCAGACTCACACGTGCCATGGGAGAGCAGAAGGAACAGAGGAGTTTTTACAAATATTCACTGAATGCCCAGTGAATATTTCATCATGGCTTCTCAAAATAGCCAAGAATTGCGAGTTTGTGGGCATTTGTTATCATTTCCAGACAGGTCCTGTGGGAGATAAAAAATCTATATGGCAAAGTACCTGCCAACAAATGAGCAATTTTAGATTACGGTATAAAACTCAACATGCTGAAAAGTTGCATGATACGGCTTAGGAAGGGAACAATTCAGTTTGCCTCAAATGGCCAATGAATTGATGAAAAATATGGAAAACAGAGGAATAGGTGACCCAAGATTTAGCGCCAATAGACAAGTGTCAGAAATTCCAGGGGAAAAGACGGGCGTATTGTCAGCATTTTTAGCAACAATGGCTCGCAGGTGGCAGAACACAATTTCACCAAGGGAGATATTCATGTGGGAACGGAGACAAACACGCCTTGTAAGAGCAAGGCAAACGAATGTTTCTCAAAGCAGGTCTCTTCATCAACATCTGACTGAACATCAGATCCCCGGGCCTTGGAGCACCCTCCTTAGCTCCAAACCTGCTCATCCAGATGGGTAGGAATGACTCGTACCCACACTGAAGCCTTGAGTATCTTTTTTAAGGAAGTGTTTACAGCACATCACTCTTTCAACTATATGCAAAATGGGTTAATTAGGAAGAGACCAAGTCACAGGCCAGAAGAGACACTGTGTAATATATGACACAGCTGAAATAATTAACATGTACTTAAAATTTCTAAATCATTAAGAGATTTTAATAGAAAAACGGACTAAGAAAAAGTTCAAGTGCTCCATTAATACATGGCACTGGACAAACAAGAAATGTGAAAGTCTGCAGAGAGCATGAACAAGGGTGTGAAAAAGCACAGTCTGGGCCCAGCATGGTAGCCTAGTGGCTAAAGTCCTCGCCTTGCATGTGCTAGGATCCCATGTGGGCACCACTGCATGTCTTGGCGGCCCTGCTTCCCATCCAGCTCCCTGCTTGTGGCCTGGGAGAGCAGTCAGGGACAGCCCAAAGCTGTGGGACCCTGCACCTGTGTGGGAGACCTGGAAGAAGCTCCTGGCTTCAAATAGGCTAAGCTGTGGCCATTATGGCCATTTGGGGAGTGAATCAGCGGATGGGAGATTTTCTTCTCTGTCTCTCCTCTCTCTGTACATCAGAATTTCCAACAAAAAATAAATCTTTAAAAAAACTTGCAAAGAGTTCACGTCCTTTAACTTGAAAATGCCTTTTCCTAAAACTCATTCTCATGAAATAGAGGGAAAAACCTGTTACACACAGATTTTTAAGAAAGATTAGAAATAATAGGGCACTAGCATCATATTAAAGTTGCCTATTTTTCGGCAGTCTTACTTTTGCTGTAATTTTATTAAAAATAAAACTATATAGCTTATAACTTTCAAAAAAAAACCATCAGAACAACTGGACTATGGTGAGCAATACTACCAAAGCCATCTCGTACCAATGTTCAGAAACAGTTCTTGCCATGGCGGTTGATTACCTGGACTTAATCTCACCTTCATGTGTTAGCTGCGAGCATCGGTCACCTGTTCTTTTTTAAGTTTTTAAAAAAATGTTATTTTTGATGATTTTTACAGTTGATTAAACTCAATTTTTCTATCTATACAGTAAGTAGCCCTGTGAACAGTATCATGTTGTTAAAGCTCAAATAATCTTAAGATTCTTTCAGTTCTATACAAATACATTGTCTCCAAACTCCCCTCCACAGAATAGCCCCAACCACAACACAGTCAGTCAGTAACAGGACACAGACCACTGTTTATAGTATGCTGGTCACTTCCCTCTTGGTAAAATATGTTTGAGGAAGCATGACTGGTTTACAGCTACTGAACAAGCCCACTGTGTAGAACAAGTCTCTCACATACTGCTTTTAAAAGTAACCCCAGCTGGCTAATTCAGAAAGCAACCTGGTGGTCCACAGGCCCCATGGAACGTCTGCACAAACAGGGAGAAACCAGAGAACCAACACAACAGATGACAACAGGAAGTTCATGAAGACAGTGAAAGAAAACTTAAATTCTCTATGTTATTTCCCAATTTTATACCATAAAATAGGACGCACACTATCGTAAATTTTTATTGAGGCCCTTTCTTAAATGACTAGTTTCTGCCAATCCAAAGGTCAAGTTTTTAAAATAAAGCACATGCTTAAAAATCCAAAGGAAATCCATTAGTGATTATTCTAGAAATGTTAATTATACAACATATGCAAGTGAACAATGTCAAGTGTACTTCAACATTCCCAAATACTCATTTGCTGCTTTATTCATCTGGAGCAACTCTCCCCAACTTTCTTTGTGAAATGCCCAATGGTCACCCCAACAAACACATCTCCCTCTCACATACAAACTACGGGGACTCGCCGGACATTCTGTCACACTACTCAACCCTAGGTAGCTCACCTCTTTAACTACAATACTGTCACTCATGTTACTTCCTGCATCTGACACTCACTCACTGACCAACACTCTCCCCACACTCCCAAAGACTCACGAGGATAGGAGTTTTGTTTAAGTCACAGCTATAGCCTCAACTACACAGTATAACCTGTAACGGAAACTCAACCAACATTTCCTGAGGGGCAAGTTCCGAGACACAGGAAGTTAAGCTACCATCAGGTGCTCCCATATCCCACCCGGGCTTCCTGCTCATGCGTCTAGGAGGCAGCACATGATGGCCGAGCCCACCACAAGGGAAGCTAGGATGGCTCCCGCTATTTGGCCAACCACTGGCTGCTGTCGGCATTTGGGGAATGAAAAGTACATGAAATAACTTTTAAAAAATATTTTCTAAGTGAATAAGTGTTTATTCATCAGATTATAAGACAATCTGACAGATGGAAAGCTACATGAGCAAATGACAAGTCATTAAACTATTAGTGCTGGAACACTACTAGTTCAAGAGCAATTTACCAATCAGATTCTTTAAACTGATGATGTGGTTTACAACGTCTATTTTCCTGTGTGCTACTGTGAGATCTCCTCTTCCGTTTGTGACTTCCATGGTAGCTTTCGTGTCCCCAGCTTTCCCTGCTGTCCCAATCAGGGCAGTGAGTTCGTTTGGAGTGCCGCATCTGTTCACAGAAATAAAAAGCCAATTGTGAAGGTCATAGAGGGCCATGTTCAAACAACACCTTACACTGCTATTACTTCAACATAAGCACAAGTTCTAAAAGCTTTCCAGATTATGTTTCCCAAGAGACAGGACACGATACCACCTTCCTGACAGAGACTGGACAGCTATCCACCTTGAGCCTAGCACTGAACAACGGGTGACAGTCTGAGACCTTAACACATTTTCTTTCTGTTCTTCTGATTTCATGCAGGACAAATATTCAGCTCAATGCTTGTCTTTAATATTTGCCAACTGCTACTTTAAATTTTAAAATAGGTGGGAGTGGGCACCACTTGTGGCCTCTGCATCCCATAGCAGAGTGCTTGGATCCACTCCTGTATCTTATTCCAACCCAGCTTCCTACCACAGGGCACCCCGGGGCCCTGCCACCCACCCAAGTGAAGTTCCTGCCTCCTGGCTTTGGACTTGCCCAACTCGGGTTGTTGCAGGTATCTGGGGAGTAAACGCAGTGGATAAAGATCTCTTTCTGTTGTTCTTCATTTCAAACAAATAAAAAAAAGATACTATTGCTCACAGTAAAACGATCCTGTGATTGTCGCCATGGATGGGGTTCTCAGTCCAGTGATCCAGTTGGGGGGCCCCCAAAGAAACCTCACCTGAGGCGATCCCAACCTGACACCTGTGTGTGCCAGCCAGTCCTGGGTCTGACCCACTCTGTCAGCTACATCAGTCTACACACAGCGGTGGCTGCAATCACCTAGTCAATTCTGTCCCCAACTCCACTGCCTGTGCAAACCAGTGGATGTGCAGCCTAATTCTGTCCACCACTCTCTCAGCCCTCAGGCACGCCAGCGGGAACTGCAGTCTAGTTATGCAGGAGTGACCCCTGATAATCCCCACCAAGACTGCCCCCAGTCCTAGTTCCTACACACGCAAGTATGTGCAGCAGACTGCTCTAGTCTGTTCCTCAGGTCAAAGGGCTTTGTAGCCCTGCCCAGGCTGATCTGCCCCCAGTCCCAGCTCTCATGCTCACCAGCAGGAGCAGTGGCCCACAAGTGAGTCCTCACAGCTCCCCTACCGGGTTTGCCTATCATCCTGGGTCTTCCCTGTGCTGCTGGGAGCTGTAGCCCACACTGGCATCATCTTGGCAGTAATCAGCAGTCAGTCCTGCCTGCTCCCGTGCTGGTGGGGTGCTGCAGCCTAGCCCAACCAGCCCCTACTCCTAGCCCTAGTGTGAAATGGCTGCTGTTGTGCCCAACACATCCTACCCTGCACCCCATCCTGGTTCTCACATTTGTCAGTGGATGCTACGAACTGGCCCGGTCTGGCCTGCTGTCAGATCTGAGCCGCATGTATGCCTCTGAGTACCGTAGCCTGGCCCAGTCTGGGCTGCTCCCAGCCTTGGTTCTTGTATTCACCAGCAGGGACTGTGTCCTGACAGAGGAGTCCCCAAGGTCCTCCAGTCACCTCCCAATGGCAGATCTCGCACACACCAGGGGGGTCTTGGCCCAGTCGGACTTGGCCTAACTTCTGTCCCGGCAGGTACAGCAGACTTGCCCAACCAGCCCACATCCACTGTTGTTGGATACTACAGACCCCTCAGACCCGGCTCTCACATGGTTCAGCAGGTGCAGAGACCTAGCGGGATCTGGCACACCTGGACCCAGTCCACACCCATGCCGAGAGATACTGTAGCCATGTCAGAGCAGTTCACCGGCCCCATTTCAGCTCTCATGCTCAGCAGTGGGAACTGCAGCCCAGTAAGGGCATCCCTTTAGCTCCCAGTCCAGGCCTGTTCCTAGCCAGATCTTGTGTGTGTCTGTGATTGCTCTGACCCAGCCCAGCATAACCCATCATCTGAAGAACCATTTATTAATACAGCTTTTTTCCCTCACCTGCAAACTCGAGAATTCCTTGCTCTAAAGCTCAAAATGACTCCAAGCTTCAAACAGAGATGTATGGGAAACAGTATTTAACAGAGAAACAGAAAGGCAATAAAAAAGAAGTTCCTTTATGAACTCATTTTCTCTATCCAAGTCTATTTTCAGCTCATCCTGAAGTTATTCTTAAAATTCAAACCTCTTGGGATGGGATGGGGAGGAGTGCAGCATTGTGGCACAGCAGGTTAAGCTGCCCCTGGGAACCCCAGGTGCTTGGCTTTCGACTCAGCTCCCTGCTAATGCAGTGCAAGATGGCCAGCAAGCTCAGGCCCCTGTCACCCACACGGGAGTCTCAGAAGCTGCTCCTGGCTTCTGCCTAGCCCAGCTCTGGCCACTCTGGCCACTGCAGCCATCTGGGGAGTGAACCAGTGGATGGAAATCTGTTTTCCCTCTCCACCTCTGCCTTTCAGATAGACTTTCTTCGAGTACACACACCTATGTCTGTTCCAGATTTGCAGTGCTAAAGACAGTAACCAACTCAGGAAGCTGTAAGTGATGCATGGTAACAGTGAAATGAAATTAATAGTGCTGGTCCCTGACTCCAACTCCAACTTCTAGGCTCAGAATCTAAGTACAAGCAACTTGACTCCTATTTGCTTCACTATTTCCAAAGTGGTTTTTTAAAGAAAAACTTTTATTTGATTTGCAAAGCACAGAGGGAGACTGCCCATCACTGGTTCAGCAACCTACATCCTACACGGCCAGGGCTGCGGCTGGGCCACGCTGAGGGCTGGAGCCTGAACTAAGAGCCTCCATGTGTGACAGGCCCAACCACCTGAGTCACCATCTACCACCTTCCAGGGTGCGTGTCAACAGGAACACTGAACCGACAGTGGGGCCAAGAAAGCAGTGCAGGCAGGCACCACGACGTGGGTACGTGGTCCCAGCCGTACACCTGTCCTAAAGCAGTTAGGTTTGTAACAGCGAGAGCCAAACTCTGCTAACCTGAGAGAAAGACGATTTTTTTTTTTACAAACAAAAACTAAAACCGAGCCAAACCTACATTCAGTTAACCTCATTCAGCTTGCTCCAATGACAAACTAACAAGTAAACAAATCTAAGCAAAAACCGAAAAGATTTCAGCTGGATTAAGAGCTTTGAAATGAGGCAATTTCACTCCTTAAGAAAATGGAAGTATTATGCCATCAGAACGAGAAGTCCTAAGTATTCAGCTCCAGCACCCCACTTCTCCCGCAGTCTAATCCTATGTCCATCAAACACCCCCCTTTAGCGCCTTCTCTTAGCTTACTTTAAGGACACACTGGTCAATCAGGTGCCAGTGCTGTCGTGCAGACTGTCCCCCCAGGCCTGTGGCCCGGCTGCTAACAGTGGAGCCCCTCAGAGCTTCGGCCTCTGTCGCCTGTGTAGGAGACTGAGGCAGCTCTAGGCTCCTCTGCCCCGACCCTGTCCTGACCGTGCTGGCCATCCCGGGAGTGAGCCAAGGCTTGGAAGAACTCTGCCTCCTCCTCTAACTTTCAAATAAATTCCTATTTTATTTATTTTAATTGGAAAGTCAGATTTACAGTGTGAAGGAGAGACAAAGATTTTCCATCCACTGGTTCGCTCCCCAAATGACTGCACCAGCCAGCGCCTAGCCAGGAACTTCCGGTCTCTCTCCCACGCGGGTGCAGGGCACTAAAGCTTTGGGCTGTCCTTCACTGTCTGTCCCAGGCCACAAGCGGGTAACACCTGGGCTGCAGCGCTTAGAGGTGGAGGATCAGCCAGCTAAGCCAACGTGTTGGGCCACAAATATATATTTAAAAACTTTAATTTTTATTGGAAAGGCAGAGTTACAGAAAGGAGGAGAAACAGATTCCTTGTTTATTCCCCAAAACGCCTGCAACAACCAGAGCTGAGCTGATCTGAAGCCAGGAACTAGGAGCTTCTTCCGGGTCTCCCACATAGGTGCAATACCCCAAGGCTTTGGTCCATCTCTCAGTCCTCAGGCAGGGAGACGGGTGGGAAGTGGAGCAGCTGGGACATGAACCAGCACCTATACGGGATTCCTGCGTGTGCAAGGCGAGGATTTAGCCACTAGACTCCATAAATAAATCTTCTTTAAGAAGACTTTTTTTTTTTTGTATTTCTCACTAGAAGATGAGCGAGCTTTCAGGTTTGACAATAAGGTCATTTCAATACGAAAAAGTGAAATAAGGGCCCTGCAGCGTGGCCTAGTGGCTAAGGTTCTCGCCTGGAATGCGCCAGGATCCCATATGGTCGCCGGTTCTAATCCCGGCAGCTCCACTTCCTCTCTATCTCTCTTCCTCTCTGTATATCTGATTTTGTAATAAAAATAAAATAAATCTTAAAAAAAAAAGAAAGAAAGAAAAAGTGAAAAAAGGAACAACATAAATCTTGGGGCACAAGAGCAAAAATCAAACTTCAGAAAAGTCATTTCAAAAAAGTTTGCGGTAGGATTCTTCTGACCAGTTTAATGATCAACATTGTATTTTGTAGGAGGACATTGTGACCCTAGAAGGTCAGCGAGCACAGGACTACAGTTCATTGGACAAATAACAACCGAACGGGATATCATTTGAGAACAGTTGAGTGGCCAGCATGTGCAGGAGGACACTTGCCGGAATATACAAGACAAAAGGAGTTCCAAACATAAGCACAGAAACAGCTGAAGGGTTTGTTGATGAGCTCAATATTTCCTCCCTTATCCCATATGACCCTCAGTGTATAAAGTCTGAGGCCACTAATAAACTGGCTATTGATCATCAGTCAGGGTCCATGCGTGTTATTATCGGTTCCGTGCACCAAGTCCATCGCTGCGGGACAGCGACAGTATCTAGCCACATGAGGAATGTAGCTAAACATTCTTAAAAATCAGCGGGCAAAAATTACAACTTGCGTGATTAAGGGCACGATCAGGACCATGCACCATAGTGCAACCTCTGCAAGGCACAGTGGGCATTTCAAAGTTTGTGAAAACAGTAAGATACACGTTGGTACAAAAGCCATTTCAAAAAATGCATGCCTAGCTTTTCACATAATATGCATCTTCCACGAACTTTCTGAAGCCGTTAAAAGTGTCTTCTTTAGCTGTGTCAGAAGCCTAGCAAGTCTGGCTGCCTGCCCCCGCCAGCTCACAAACACCAAGACGGCGTTATCGAACGATCCAGGTTATTGCACAAACACAAACCTGAGTTCCCCGGAAGAACCCCAGACCTGCCTTTCTCTAACCAAGTTCCCTGCTGACAATTTAATTCAGCTGTTAGGTTCCGTTTCCCAACATACCTTCAGAAAATTTCCCATCTGGAAGACAGAACGGTCCTGACTTACCTCTCACCGGGAAGGTTCCTTGGCACAGAAAAGCCACCTGGTATCCACGCTACCTGCTACAATGACCGGGATCTTCCATAAAAACAGCAGCCACAGTGGATCCCAGTGTATAGATCCCTATTATATTCTATTAGAAATCATCTTCTCCCACTGCCCGTCTGGAGGCGCGGAGCAGGTTAGAACCTAGGGTTGGCAGGGCTCGAAGAGGGCCCTGTTAAACGTTAACAGGAACCGGCGGGTCAGGGCGCACCTGCAAGGCAATGGCCCTACACCAAGGACAGGTGGCTGGCCACCAGCTGCAGCACGGCTGCTAAACGCTACGAGGGCCACGGAAGCAACCAGGGACCGCAGCCACTCAGCACCCCTTCCCGACACCCCACGTCCACCTCTCCGGGCCCCGGGCAGCTGGCCAGGGCGACTGGCGCACTCAGGCAGGAGCCCAGCCCGGATCCAAAACGCCACCAGGCGGGAGGCCCCAGGAGCCGGGGACTGTCCTCCAGGGGGCTCCGCAGGAGGGAGCGGCGTGCCGGGGTGGGCAAGGAGTGCTGGAGTGGGCAAGGAGCGCCAGGGTGGGCAAGGAGCGCCGGGGTGGGCAAGGAGCGCCAGGGTGGGCAAGGAGCAAAGGCAGCCTGGGTGGGCAAGGAGTGCCAGGGTGGGCAAGGAGCAAGGAGCGCCAGGGTGGGCAAGGAACGCCGGGGTGGGCAAGGAGCGCCAGGGTGGGCAAGGAGCAAGGAGCGCAAGGGTGGGCAAGGAGCGCCAGGGTGGGCAAGGAGCAAGGAGCGCAAGGGTGGGCAAGGAGCGCCAGGGTGGGCAAGGAGCAAAGGCAGCCTGGGTGGGCAAGGAGTGCCAGGGTGGGCAAGGAGCAAGGAGCGCCAGGGTGGGCAAGGAACGTCGGGGTGGGCAAGGAGCGCTAGGGTGGGCAAGGGCCTCCGGGGTGGGCAAGGAGCGCCGGGGTGGGCAAGGAGCAAAGGCCGCCTGGGTGGGCAAGGAGTGCCAGGGTGGGCAAGGAGCGCCAGGGTGGGCAAGGAGTGCCAGGGTGGGCAAGGAGCAAGGAGCGCCAGGGTGGGCAAGGAACGCCGGGGTGGGCAAGGAGTGCCAGGGTGGGCAAGGAGCAAAGGCCGCCTGGGTGGGCAAGGAGTGCCAGGGTGGGCAAGGGCCTCTGGGGGTGGGCAAGGAGCGCCAGGGTGGGCAAGGAGTGCTGGAGTGGGCAAGGAGCGCCAGGGTGGGCAAGGAGCGCCGGGGTGGGCAAGGAGCAAGGAGCGCCGGGGTGGGCAAGGAGCAAAGGCCGCCTGGGTGGGCAAGGAGCGCCAGGGTGGGCAAGGGCCTCCGGGGTGGGCAAGGAATAAGGAGCGCCGAGGTGGGCAAGGGCCGCCAGGGTGGGCAGGGCCGCCAGGCGAGCCGTTAGGGTCCCCAGATGAGAGTCGGGGCAGAACTGCGTCGCCGGAACAAGTTTAGGTGCCGAGGCTACCAACTGAGCAGCGACCGCAGGGATGGTCCCGGCCCCCGAAATCAGGTTTTCTCCAGCAGCTGGCTCTCAGACCGCAGAAACGCTAGCTTAGCAAAGCCCTCCCGCAAGCTTACCTTAGCAAAGGCAAAAGGTCCTCTGGCCGAGAAATGTCGCCAAAACGCCGCCTTCCCTTTCCAGCCGCTGCGACAAACAGCCCACAAAATGGCGGCAGCGCCCTCGCCCGCCCCGACCTACGCCGCGCGAACGCGCCTGCGTGACAGAGGCGCGCGCTCCCGCCGCTCGACGCGTGGGCGGGGCTTCGCCCCCCCCCCCCGCGGCGCTGCACACTGCGCCTGCGCGCGCCTCGGCAGGTTTTGTTTTGAAAGCTGCTGGGAGGAACACACCTGGGAGGAGCCCTTAGCAGGTGTCACGTGCCTGCCTCTAACCACGTGCCTGCCTCTAACTGCTTGCGTGCAGTTCCGCCAGCTTCTGCAGACGCCGGTTTCCTTTCCGTTGTGTGTGAGCCACACCGCACCCCCTACGGACCTCAATTCTGCTTTGAACCAACGCTATACAGACAAGTCGTGATGTGTGCCCTGCCGGCAGGCTAAGTTGGGAGAAGGATAAGGCCAGATAGGAGCTGCCAGTTTCTGAACACAAGCTCCAAAGCCAGCAATAGGGAAGCTTCAATGAAGACTCCTGCCGAGGCCCCTCCATTTAAGATCCCTGCTATATCTTTGTCTCTGTGGGTTTTCAATCAGCCCAAGTGGGAAGATTTCTAGCTAGCAGGTGCGTTAGGGGACGTGCGGATTCTGTGCTTCTGAAAGCCTCAGATGGCTTTCCAGTATGACTGTGTAGTGAGAGAAGTGGGAGACCCTGGGGACACTTCTAAGGGATGGAGGAAAGGAACCTGGGATAGAAGGACCAACAAAGAGGACAGAGTCCAGGGTTAGGAGGAGAGAGAAAAAGCCTGACAGGTGGTTGGGCGGTGCCCGGCATTGGGAAGAGCTAAGGTCTGCTTCCTGTGGAGGAGCCTTGAGGCGCATCTGTATTTTGACCCAAATATGCCAAAGAAATAAGGGTACCAGGAAGCAGAATTGAGAGCGCGGGACTGAACTGTTGGGGGTAATAGCCATTAGCGTGTGGGGAGCCTAAGGAGGCAGCTATGATGTTGTTAGCGTTCTTGCATTTAGAACATTCAGCCACTGTTTTCACTACAAGGTCAATGTGTATAACTCTCAGGGAAGCATAGTTGGAAAGATCAATTCTCATGGAGACCGACTCCATTTGAAAAGGGGAAGTTGGAAAACATTTGCAAAATGAAAACTATGCTACGGAATAACACAGCCTATGTTACATGGGTTAGTCACCACTATGTAATTAACACCTTGCAGGTAGGTAAGATAGCAACCAGCACCATGTATGTTACCACCCCTTTCCCTCCTCTTAGAGAGATGAAGTTTGAAGTAACGGGCATCCTTGTGTGCTTGGAGCCTCCCAGTTAGACCAACCAATTCTGCCCAGAGTGAAAGTTACTGGTTCGATGGTGGATCCCCTAGAATGTTGAGCCATGGACTGGGTGCTGTTGCAAGCAAAAGTGAGAGTCAAAGACAGCAGACCCTGTGTGGTCAGGCTGGTGGCAGAGACCTTCCCCTGTGCTTGCTGGAGCAAGAAAGCTTTTTGGGAGAGTGGTAAGAAACCGTACAGCTGTGCTTAAACAGCAATGCGGGGGTTTTAAGGGTACCATGTGGGATAGCTACCTGCAGAGAAGTAATTCCACCCAATAGCGGAATCTCCTTTATCAACTCTGCTATCTTGCTCCAGAATACTTTAGACAGTATTTTCAGTTGTGCCGCCCATAAGTGAAGTGTGTGTGCCCACGAGAGAACATTTTTTGCAGTGCCATGGAAGTACTCCTAAGCGCTGTGTCTTTGTGCTTTGATGGGAGGCAGGGAGCTCTGATCTGGATGCCTAGAACCCGTTCACTGTTGAGCTGTTTCACTGTTGATTTAAGTTCCAAATGGAGTGAGTCAAAGCTAAGCATTTACCTGCATGATTCCTCTACCAGGTAACATAAGGCTTACATGGCACCCGAACCTCTTCTGGTAAGTCAGTCACCTGACAAAGGATCTCTTTTGGTCTGAAGACTTCATGGAAATATCTACTCAAATTTCAGAGATCCACTATCCGCACTAGAATCAGAGCATCCTCCGGCAGATTCATGGTATGCAAGAATAGATATGTTCAAAAAAAAAATCTTCAAAAAGAAAATTGTAGTTTTGATGAGTACCCAGAAGAGTATTCCTGCTGTGTTGGATGTGTTAACCTCAGTTAGAGAAAACATGCATACAAAGGCAGAATTGCCAGTAGAGGTATCAGTTGTGTAAATGAAGTTTAACCAAAGCTTCTCCACCAAATGACCAACCGCGTATAAAGTAATAGCTTCTATTCAACTAGATCTTTTGGTTCTTTCTAGCTACAAATTAACTCTACAATATGTGTTAACCACTTTATAGACATGATTTCATAGAAATATAAAAGAACCTAGAAGGCAGTTGTAGGTTCTTACCCTTGATGAATTATCGAAATACTAGAAACAGAATTCAAATCCAGGCTGTGTCCCAAAACTCGTGTTTAGCCTGCTTTTCTGACTGCTTCAACTCCTACAACAAGGTACGTAGCAACTCACCTTACTTGACCATTTGAGGAAAACTTGCCAACTCCATCTTTCAGCAAGACTAGACTGTCATTGAAAACCAGTTTTTGAAGTCACGTGTCATTGAAGGCTACTGTGATGGAACAATGGATCAGTTTGCCAGCATCGGGTCATTGGCTGCGCCTTGCTGTCAGCAACAGGTCACAGAGCCTCCCAGGTTTCCCACATGGCCTTGGATGGATAATAAAACAGGTTTTTCTGCTGTCTGCTGCCTCTGCTTGTGAGACTGACTGCAACTCAGTAGCAGCTGATGCCCTGGTTCACAGTGTATGTGTGTACAGTGTATGTATGGGATGGACAATAGGGAGGTGCAGGAGTGATGGAATTCCAGGACTCCATAGGGAATACAGTAGGCTGTGCCTTCCAATTCCCTTCCCTGATCAATTCCCACTACCACTAGTGGGAAGGTCTGAGAGCCAGGAGCGTAGCAGAATGTCCCAGCTGCTCCACTTCTGATGTAGCATCCTGCTGGACTTGGGCCCAAGTGCTTGGGCCCCTGTACTGCTGTGGAAGACTCAAGTGAAATTCTTGGTTCCTGGCTTTTATCTGGCTTAGCCTCTGCCAATTGTGGCCATTTAGGGAGTGAACCAGTGGATGCAAGAACTCTGTGCTTGTCCCACTCTCTCTGTAACTTTATCTTCTAAATAAATATGTCAATCTTCAAAAACTTTTCCCAGTTATATTTTTCTTTAATGAATCTACTTAATGAACTTTCCTCAGTGTTAAACAATTATTATAGGGCCTGATGCAATGGCTCAGCAGCTAAATCCTCACCTTGCTAGTACCGGGACCCCATTTGGGTGTCTGTTTGAGTCCCGGTTGCTCCATTCATCCCTTCCAGCTCCTGACTATAGGTAATTTCTTACTGAACTTTCTATCTTTGGCCTCAACAAGCCCAGTTTCTTGGGCTCATTGTCAAATTTTCTTTTAAGGATTTTTCTCTTTTGGGCCCAGTATGATGGCTTAGTGGCTAAACCTGCACCTTGCATGTACCAAGATCCCGCATGGCTGCTAATTCATGTCCCAGCTGCTCCACTTCCCATCCAGCTCGCTGCTGGTGGCCTGGGAAAGCAGTTCAGGATGGCCCAAAGCCTTGGTACACTATACCCACATGACAGACCTGGAAGAAGCTCCTGGCTTCAGGCTGACTCAACTCTAGCTCTTATGGCCAGTGGACATATCTTTGTCTCTCCTTCTCTCTGTAAATGTAAATTCTTTCCAATAAAAAATATTTTAAAAAATTTCTTGGGCCCAATGTGATTGTCTAGTGTCTAAATTGTCACCTTGTATGCACCAGGATCCCATGTGGGCAC